TGCTTATAAGTATAATTTGTCTAACTGATTGACTTTTCCACATAGAACTATTCAAGAAAGTACAATAATTTAATTTGCCACACTTCATGCAGCACACAGAGTTAGGGAAAAACATTCGAAAGAGCAGTAATGAACAGAAATTTACGAGATATAAAAATAATGATTATAAGGATAATGATGGAAACTTGATAAATCTAGAATTCCATATTAGAATGTATGGATGTTCAACAGTGAAAAGGAATTTAACTTATATCATTGACAGTTTCTAGCTACTGATTGTTAGCGTCTTCATCATACTAAACCAGATAGTGTGCATCGTCCAACATGGTTCAAATTAACACTTAAAGACCTCTTTGAATCAATGTCAAGTCCTGATCTGATCACCTCAATTTTTTTATCCAACTTAATCCTACGCCAACAAAACAGGACTGGATTACACTGACTCCTAGGTTAAGGAGAGGGAGTGAAGTGGTAAAAGTGTTGATCACTTCACCTATTTAGGAAGTTGTATGAGCCAACGCCAGCGGGTTCATCACTGACGAAATCTCAGCACAGATACTGAAGGCGCATTGGCATTTGTCAACTTATGCCATCTCTAGCTTAATAGACGTGATATCCGGTTGATTATCGATCAAAGGGCGCGTGTACTGCTCATCAGTTCTCTCGAGCTTCTTCATAGCTGGCTGTGAGACATGGTCATTGAAAGTAGAAGACTGTCTTTGATCATAGGTTTCTGTGCTCTCTCTCTCCTGTTTGTGTTACGTGCCATAAAAAGGGAGTAACATTGACGTTAGGCTTCGAGTGCGACAGACAAAGAGGGAAAATCAATCAACGAGGTTGTGAAGTTACACAGATTAAGATGGTTAGGACATGTGTTACCATGCCCAGCCATCATCTTCCTTGACCGACAGGTTGGAAAAGTTAGCTAGTGGTGGTCAAACAATAACATCGCCTCATCAATCAATAAAATCCACAACAGTTAGTTTAAACCAGCCATATCATGAGAAGTAGACTTCTTGGTTAGGGTCATCAGGATGGTGAAAACCAATGGCGGCTGGAAAAAATTGACGATATGACACAAAATCGGCGTTCTCAATGGCTAGCGCAGATGCATTTACTGTTTGTGACTTATAATATCCAATAAAATTCTATTGTTCTTCCATAGTACTATTCTTTTTGCCTCATATCCCTGTTTACTGTCTTTGTTTTGCATTTCTTTTTTACTTTCTTCTCTTGCTTTGTGTGCTAAGTGAAGTGTAATGATTCGAACTGCTGAACATCGGTGTAAACTTCTACATTGAAACCAGTCAACCAGTCAGACAGTCAGTTAGTCAAAATAAAACAAAAGAACTAAACGAAAGAAAAAAAAGTGGTGAGATATTTTATTTAGCATATCAGCTGTAAGAATAAACAGAAGAAAGAAAAGCCTACATTTTCTGTTTTGAAAAGTAAACAAACCATTCAAAGTTTATACTTTTTCTCTTTCTCTCTCTCTCTCTCTTTCTTTCTTTCAGTAAATTAATTAGGCGAGATCAAATATTGATAAAAAGACAAAGAGTTTCTCACAGTGGTAAAGATATTTTTGGTATTATATTGTTATATAAGTACACTATGGAACAAAAAAAGCTGGTACAACACACAGACACACACACAAAATTTTCACTATTATTATTATTGTTCCCTTGGATTCCTAGTGGAACATAGGCTTCAACTGCATGCACGCCTCCACTTGCTTCTGTCTTCCTTCTGCTGTACTTTTCACCTGCATCCATGTTAGTTAGTTCATACTGTTTCAACTCCTCTACACACGATTCCTCCATGTCACCCTTGCACTGACGTCCCACTCGCCGCTTCCCATTCTGTCGGGTTCCACTCAAGGCGCGCGCGATGTCACCCAGCGGCCTCCTCAGCGAGTGAGTGTCCAATCCATCTCAATCCACTTTCTCCTGCATATTTGTTGGTTGGCGATTGGTTTGTTCTTGTTTTGTTTGTTCTTATAGTTTTTTGTTGGTGATTCTTTCGAGCCCGGCCATCTGATTGATCTTCAGTATAGAGCCAGCGAAGACAGTTGTTGGTTAATAAATGTCTGCAACAGGCTGTTGGAAATATTCTTTGTGATCGACCCTCCAAGTTTCTGATCCGTAAAGAAAAATTGACTGACTTGACGTTTGCATTGAAAATCCGACCGAATTTCGTTGTTCATGTTGAGCTGAATGACGAAGATTTCCAGATTGGTTTCAGGTTGATGATTGTGTGTGTGTGTGTGTTTCTCGCCTGCCTTCCCGATTCTCGCTCGATTTGACATCGTCGTCTGTTCCTCCTGTAGTTGAGACAATGCTCCCTAGATAACAAGTGAATGAAGTAACTTCTTTCAAATCCCTTTCGTTGATGGTGATTGGCGCTGGATGTTGCTGCTGCTGTTGTTTGTTGGTTGGTTGGTTATTTTCATAACCTCCGTCTTGTCTTTGTACACCTGGGGTCCTGTCTTCGCCGGCTGCTTCTTCGACTTGTTTGTCGGTTTTCGCTCGTAAGCCTTCGATTTTGTGTGACATCAAACATAAATCATCGCTTCGCGAAATCCAGGTCTTCTAGATTCTTCACGTCAGTCGGTCCAGGATATCCCTGTCTTCTCGTTTCCCACTCACTGTCTGACGCACAATATAGTCCACCACAATTAGGAATATTATTCATTGGTGATAATAAGCACCCTTGTCTGGCTCCTGTGTTTATTTCAAACGACTCGCTGAGTTTTCCGTAGTGGATCACTTGACATGTGCCGTTGTCGTACAGCTGTTGAATAAGGTTGATGAATATTTGGGCGCTGCACTTCGTAGTACTCGAATAGCTTCCAAATCACTTCGCGGCCAACGCTGTCAAAGGCCTTCTCGAAGTCTATAAAGTTGAGGTAGATTGCCTCGCCTAGAATACTAGCTCACTAGTTTTCTAGCCGGTGCCAAGCTCGGATAAAGAGAGAGGGTTGGTTCGTGGTGCTAGTAACTCCACCCCCAAAACTTAACCATATTGCTACAGAAACTTCAACGCATAAATTTTCACTACACTAAGCAAAAATACAGGAAGCAAGAGAAGAATAAGAAGAAGAAAATTTTCCAGAGTAGATTTCATCAAGAATCAAAGTCACTTAGACAATCAGAAAGGTATTTTGACGAGGAGGCTGTTTCCAAATATTAGTATAGTTTAGGATCCTTCAATACACAGTAATCATTCGTGATCCCACAAATGTGAATGAAGCTAAAAGCTATGGGAGACAAGGTGAAAAAGTTGAAATTCAGTCATCACTAGGGTTGGAATTCAGTTGTCAGTGAATTCTAACCTCTGACATTTCGAAATCATTGAAAACCAGTCACAGGGAGTACTGGATAGATGTTTGCTTTAACCTAGTTTGGTACTCACGGGCAGTACGCACCCACCACAAGGGTTAGAACCCAGTGTAACAACAGAAGACAAGGGCAAGGCGACAGATCGTTTATTAAAGAAATCAACACGTATTTATATATTTTCATGTACATTATTATAGCTTATTCAAGCAAACACACACAGCCTTCTGATTGGTTGTTTCTCACAGACAGTTTACCTTGCATCTATTTGTGACTGTTTCTTGAATGTCAGGTCATCTATATGTTAACTGTACCTGCCCACGCCAATTCTGCTTTGATTGGTTGTTGAATCAGTCTTCTTTCATATTTTCGTACGACCAATATTTGAGACACAAACACTGACGTAAATAATTGTCTACCAATTTGGCTAACAACCTGCTTTTACCACACTAGGACCTACCGATAAAAAGGCAAGCTAGCTCGTATACTATTCAGTCACTGGGACCCGAATCTACAATGGTCGGACCATGAATTCTAACTACTACCAATTCGTGATATAGCGCGACCACTAACCAATGTCATAGGAGGGATTCCCAAACTAGAATGAAATAGCTGTCCAGTACCCCTGTGGCTGGTTTTCAATGGTTCTCTAAATGATATCAATCAATGATCCACTCGTAAAAACAAAACTAACCCTAACAAACCAATCTCTTGAAAGTTAATCTACTGCTCACTAATTTTTTTTTTTTTTTTTTCTTTTTTTCATTTGGGGCCCCACTTGCTACAAGACGGGGTTTCCAGCAGTTCTAGTGAGAAGTTGTGACCAGTGAAGTCCATCCAGTCAAGTGTGAACATGAATGTCCCATCAGTGACAGTGTTTGGTGCCAGTCGCGCTAATTCACGAATTGGTAGAAGTTAGAATTCATGCACTGGCCAGTTAGTCGAGTTCCAGTGGTTGAATGGTTGACGAGCTTCCCTTGTAACTGATAGGTCGTTTGGTTCAAAACCCTTTGGGTGCATACTGCTGATGAGTCCCAAACCAGGACAACGGAAACGGCTGTCCAGTACTCCCTAGTAGTTTTTTATAGTTCTCTAACTGGCATCAATTCATGATCAACTTGTCGAAACAAATCTAATCCTTACAAACCAACTATTGAAAATATTTCGAAATCAATTATAGAGAACTAGCGAAAACAAAGTCTGAATGGACACTTGTTAGGTCAAAGTTTGAAACATCCCCTTGGTGTTTGGATGGCTGGAAGTAATCGATAGAAAGCTTTGAACCTAGGTCTTGTGTTTGCTTGTTGGCAAACACCAGTAAGCAAGGCGTATCTGCTACCTTTTCCGTATAACAAACAGACTTTTGTTGCATAATTTTATCAACAGTTGCCTTCACTAGCTCCATAGTGAATATCAAATGGCCAGTCAGAAAGAATAAGCAACAAGAAACTCTGGCTGGCTGGGAACAAACCAACAGGTGAGAGCCGATAACTCAACAAATATGTAGGAGAAAATGGAGATAGATCAGGCCATCTAATGACATTACACTCAATACAGGCCATTACTTAAGCGGAATCCCAATGGGAAGTGACAAGTGGGTCGTCAATGAAAGAGTGACATGTAGGAAGGAGATTTATTTTTATTTTTTATTTTTTTTTTATTTTTGATTTACAGCTTAATTCCACACTGCATTTTTCGTACAAGTATGGAATTTTCAGCATGGATATCGGTAGCCCAAATTTTGCAGGCCGACCATAGATATCAGGTATGCGCCGGCGTGGGCTCTGAAGATAAATAAGTTCAGCACAAAGTTTAGACATATCGGCGCCTACTATGGACGCCTAGACTAAGTCCGAATGTTAATTCGATTGCGTCTATGGACGGAGTCTAGGACATGTATATTTCTGTCGTATTTAGAACTAGTTAGCTCGATCTATCTTTATACACTTGCCTGAAGAAAGTGTACATGATCCGAGATAATGAAGCCTACTCTTTGAAGGCAATCGACAGTATAAAAGAAGGAAAAATTCAAAGAATCTCTCCCAGGTGAAAAAAATAGAAACACTTCACTGGTTTAACGATAGAATGTTCACCAGCTACACATGGGGGTTAGGGTTAGATTTCCGGCCAACAGACTGTCAAATTTCACCCAGCTGGTAGTAAGCCCAAGAGGGAGGAGAAGTCATCCATGAGGCCATCATCATCGTCATCACCATTACCCCGCAAAAAACACAACACTTCAAAGCTTAAATCCCTACATTCCACTTGCTACGTAATGGAATAAAAAAGGAAACACTGGGGTTAGTAATGACGAAAGAAAATGACAGCAATTTAATGAAACATCAAGAAAAAGAAGCCAGAGTTAAACGACGGCACACTTCACCCCAGCAGTTTTCACCATTGTTAGGAATAGTTATTTTTTGCTGCAAAACAGAAAGCTAACATCCCGATGACTGTTAACACAAAAACGCATTAGGTTATTCATGACGCAGATGAAATAGTCAAAACCAATAACCTCAAAACAAAACTAAAATGAACACATACACACACACACGCACACAAACAAAGTGATTATTAAGCCACCTAGTGAGGACGATTATCATTACTGTCATTATTATTAATATCATTATTCACCGTTTATCAGAATGTAATGGATCGCCCGGACGAGGATAGCTCATACTGCCGCATAAAAATATTCGGCTGGAAAAATTGGAGTATAAATGAGCTAAAATTGCTTAATTTGAAAAAGAAGATAAACAAAAAGGAAATGCAAGCACACAATAGAAATTAATTATCATTATTATTATTACCAAACATTAATGGTAATAACAATGACAAATCTCAAAGGAAACAGTTAACAGTGGAGAAATATTAACAAAACAAAAACCAGTGAAATCGGGTTCCCCCTCAAAAAGGTGGGTGTTTCGAATAGGATCCTCAGTTGGTAAGAAGAGATTGAAGTGGTTGTATAAGAAGAGTAATAATTGCACCACCTAGTCGATATGGATCATATCTTTGCAACGTCTCACCTGAATGTTATCTGTAAAAACGAACAATAACCTACTAAAATAATTAAGGTATCCGATGCATCGATACTGCTGAAGCTTTGATCACCATTGAAACCGAGAGAAGCCAGGGCTCTCAACCGATCAAAAGTTAAACTATTATATATGTGTAAAACTTGGGCACTGTGGTATTAAGTAATTCCATATTAGTTTGATTATTAAATGTATCACACAGTGAAACAGCATTGTATACTGGATGACGTTTCGAACACAATTTATTGTTCATAATCATATCAATTTTTGTCACCCGACTTCGAGATTTGATTTTTATAGTTTTCTCTATCTTCTCCTATTTGTTGTATGGGCAGTAGAATTTTGTTTATCGAATCAACTGCAAATACATGTAATAGGAATGATTCAACACCTGTCCCAGATATATGAAAAACTCTACTGCCCATACAACAAATAGGAGAAGACAGAGAAAACTGTAAAAATCAAATCTCGAAGTCGGGTGACGAAAATTGATATGATTATGAACAATAAATTGTGTTCGAAACGTCATCCAGTATACAATACTGTTTCACTGTGTGATACATTTAATAATCAAACTAATATGGAATTAAACTATTATACTCTCCATGATGAGCCCTTCGTCCTATTTGGGACTTGTCGTCTGGATGTACGTGCATTCCCCCAGTCACTGAGTGATAATGTTCCCACCGAGGCTGGAACCCAGTGCCCATAGTTTCAAACACCAGAGAGTTATCCACTAGACCACTTGGGCCACGAGAGCCACTTCATTCTTGTGTAGCGAATCATATTAATTATTGAATTCAATTTTAGATTTTCCCGTCGACTGATTGGACCGAAGTGCTCGGTCTCAGGTTGACAGGTTATCTTCTCGTGCAGATGCTTTGACGATGTCTATGCATGTAACTAGAGGTTAATTGGTGGGAAAATCTAAAATGAATTCAATAATTAATATGATCCGTTGCACAAGTATGAGATGGCTCTCGTCACCCAAGTGGTCTGGTGGATAACGCTTCGGCTAGCGTTTGAAGCTATGGAAACTGGGTTTAAGCTTCGGTGAGAACATCATCACTTACTGCGGAATGCAGGTACATTCAGTTGAAGAACCCCAAATAGGAAGAAATGTGCATCCTGGATTCCACCGCTAGTCACTATCCACAAACTAAATTCTGACTAAATGCCCAGACATCGTCGAAACATCTGCACAAGAAGCCAACAGACATGTCAACCTGCCACCAAGCACTCCGATCCAATCAATCTACGGGAAAATCTTAAATTCAATTAAATATTATACTCTCCGTTTCTTCATCGACTCTATTTACTTTTTGTTTTTGCTTGATTCAATCTATATATCCATTCTTAATAATTCGATTACCGGTATTACATTTGTTCTAATGCCGATATCCGATAAAATAATGGTGAACCACTCACTTTTTTATTCCTTTACGTTCCCCCAGTGGAACATAGTAAGGGCTTCAAACTACAGGACTGAAGTTTCCGTAGCAGTGGTGTTTATGTTTACGGTATGAGGATGCTAGCCTCATGCCCTCTTGTGCGTCGGTGGCACAGTGGTTAAGACTCTCGCCGACCATGCACATGGTCCGGGGTTCGAGCCCACGCCGACGCACACCTGATATCTATGGTCGGCCTGCAAAATTTGGGCTACCGATATCCATGCTGAAAATTCCATACTTGTACCAAAAATACAGTGTGGAATCAAGCTGTAAATCAAAAATCAAAAAAATCAAAATCAATGCCCAATCCAACCTTCCCTCTTTACCAGCCTTATTACTGGCTTATCGAGGTAAAGGAGGAGTCTGCCTGTGACCGAGGATCGAACCCTGGACCACATGAGACGTGGTCAGAGAGCTTTCTACCGCTGTACCATTTACTTACCATACTTTTGTCCTATTTTGAAGATCTTCACTGGTGCAAATCCATAACTCTATCAGGGGTTGATGCCTGACCAACCCGGTGACTACTTAGCCGCTGGAGTAGAATGTAATCAGCTATGAATTTTATCTTCTAACAGCTGACATGTGCTCTGTGGTTTTCAGTGATTTCGGATCGAGGGATATGATCTACAAAATCTATTAACAAGTTTACTTTGTTACTGTGAGACGCGTTTCAATGTTAGATAATATTACACTTTCTGTTGCACATTGAATGAAGCAATTTTTATTTTCTGTCAGGATACTTAGAAGATGACAGCTGAAAAATATCGTGTTACTGAAACCTTAGCCAACCCCAACCATGGTAGAGGGGAGGAAGGGAATTCAACCTATGCACAAAGAAGAGTCTAGTTCAACTCCCCTTATTTTGTCCTTAGTGTTAATTTCAAATTTCGCTTTTAAATTTTTAACTGGAATTATTAAAATTATTTATAAATTGCTTGATATCCTCAGTGCATGTTCTTCTCTAACTGTCACCAACGTTAGCACACAACCACAATACAAACTGCCCATGCATTTTCTGTTACCCTTTGATGTTCGCGTTAAAAAATCACGAGTTGGTAGAAGTTCAGATTCATGGATTGGCCAGTGAGGAGTTGGGTCCCAGTGGCTGAATTGTATACCAGCCTGCTTTGACATCGGAAATTCCTGGGTTTGACACCTAATGGTTGAGTACAGTCGGTGAGTCCCAAACTAGGACAACGGAGACAGTTGTCCAGTACTCCCTGATTTTCAGCGGTTTTCTAACTGATATCAATTCGTGGTCTAACCAGAAAGCATCTTCTTAATTATGGTGAACTTATGGTAAGAAGGATATTATCTGGTTGTCATCTCTTTTTGCTGTGTCTACTGAGGTAGCTAGCAGTAGTTCCAATCACGGTGAGAAGTGTAGACCATCTGACTTGAGTATTCAAAACTCTGAGGACCAATGACTTGACACACTACTCAAAATCTTTATCCACTGCACAGATTTACTCATCATAGTTTGTGATCTCCCAAACCTGTTAAATTCTCATCTCATCTCCTTTACCTTGTCTTATGTTTCTTTTTCACTTGATTATTGTCACCCCTATCACCTTGATCGATTTATGTACCAGGTTTACACATGCGCTGTTTTTCTTAATTTTATGATTAGAAATGAACACAACAATTGAGCTGTTGGCCAAAACAACAACATGGTTGATGTGTGCTTAGGTGATGAAAAAAATGTGATTACTCCTACACTAACTTTAAAACGAAACATTTCATAAGGGTAGAATTACCAAAAACTCTTTTCATCTTTCTTTCATAAGAAAAGTTAGGCGTCTATTTATTCCTTTACATTTACACATATTTAGGTAGGAAAAAGGGTGTTTTAAAATGAATTTGATTCTAAGTAAACACTGGTTCCCGGTTAGTACTCAGGCTATGAGCTAGATGAATACTAACTACCCAGTAACTCAGGCTGAAGTCTGACGGGATTAGGACCTAGGAGCCATTAGCTGAAATTTGAGTGCTTAGAAAAGTGAGCCGCATCTGAAGAATTTTGCTTGATTGGTTGGAGGATTTCTTCATGAGCTGACGCCAGTTAGAGAACCATTGGAAAACTAGTCAGGGAGTACTGAAGAGATGTTTCGTCCTGGGCTTGAACCCCTGTGGTGGGTGCTTAATGATGAAGAGTCCCAAACTAGGCTGACGAAACGGCTAGCTTTCCAGTACTCCTAGCAGGTTTTTTAATGGTTCTCTAACTGATGTCATTTCATGATGAAATCCTTCAACCAGTTAAACAAAATTCGCTACGAAAACCAATATTTGACAATTAATCTGATGCTCACTAGCAACTGGCCATAATTGGGCAGTGACCTGGGATTCTAGTGGAAAGCCCTGACCACTAGGAAACCGTAGGTCGAAATTGAGGCAGTAATTCATCGAAGAAGACATTGCAAAGTGGTCATGCTATGTCGTGCGTGAATTGTCAGAGATTTAAGTTCATGGACCAGACATTGTTTCAGTTAAGTCTCAGTGGCTTAATAGTCTACGCGCTCTCTCCCCCTGTAATCAGAAGGTCGTGGGTTCGAAAACTGTTGGTGGGTGCGTAATGATGAAGAGTCCCGAACTAGACTAATGAAGCAGCTGGTTATCCAGTACTTCCAAGTGGTTTTGCGATGGTTCTCTAACTGATGTCAGTTCATGATGAAATCCCTCAACCAGTAAAACCATATCAATACTGGTTCACTACTACTTGTACTTGAACAGTTCATTTACATACTAAAGCTGACCTAAGAGCAACAGTGCAGTCTAACGTGATGACAGTTTTTCGTCCTAGCTAGGAGAGATCTATGCAGTAACAATCAACTTGTTCTTAATGGACACATTGCTACAGAACAAGTCAGACTCTTCAAAAAGTAAAATATCAGGTCAATGAAACGAAAAAAATATCGACACAAGTAGACAAAAAGATAAAACATTTGGTTCATGAAGCGAGAGAGAGAGAGAGGGAGAAGGGGAGTGGAAACGGCGGTTACAAAGCTTCACTCCATTTCGAAGTTAACACTAATGATTTTGTCTAGAAGAACAACGAGACATCCGTAATTAAACAGCTGAAAGTTTAAAAAACACACAAACATTTGTTTCTCATCATTTTATACAGTAATATCACTTAAAAAAGTTTATATCTCCCTCAAAAATATTTGTTTCTTCTATAAGGATGCATTAGAAATTATAATAGCCAATAACATCATATCAAGTGAGTGACATAAAATTTTCCATATGTTGACGATTTCTAAGTTGTATAACCAGAATTCCGTACAGATTAACAAGTATTTTGAAGACTATACAATCCTTTATCTATCTTCTATATATTCCATCTCTGTCAATCATCCTACACGATTCAACAATACATTACGAAAACCAACATTCACGCATCATAATACACTACCCGTAGTTATAATTGGTCAGTAGATAAGAGGAATATTATTTTATTCCACTATGTTCCCAAATAGGCAGACAGAAATGGAGATGGATTGGCCATACTCTGAGGAAACAAAACATCAAGTGACATCACTAGACAAGCCATTGCTTGAATGGAACCCGAAAGGGAAGCGGCGAGTTGATAGTCAGTGCCAGGGTGACTTGGAGGAGGTCATGTGAAGAGGGGGAGATGAAAGCATGTGGTCAGATTCGGAGCCAGGTGAAAACTCTAGCAGAGAACCGAACTCAATGGAGACGTGCGCGGCTGAAGCCCTATGTTCCTCTAGGAATTAAAGGAAATAATATAATACGTTCCCTTTAGTGGAACACATGGTTTCAGGCTCAGGCTAGAGGTCTGGAGTTTCGGTAGAAAAAGGGTTTTATTTCTACGCAAGGTCTGTGGGGTCGCTAGCCTCACGTCCACCTCAACCTACCCTCTTTTCTCGGCCCAACTATCAGCTTGACAAGGTTTATGAGTGCATCTGGAACCTCAGACCACTGGCGTGGTTGGCTAGTATTCTACCACGGAATCCCCAACGACGCCCTTTGGTGAGAGGAAACAGGTATCTTTTATAATAATGTAAAAAGATGATCTGTGGAATCGTTCCTTTTATTTTTCAAGGTTTTTTACCCAAAGGAACTAAATGAAACAATGTGGACATTGATAAGAGACAGTTTTCTTTCTTTCTTTTCTTTTTAAATATTGAATAAACTAAGGTCACATAGATTATTATCCTCTTTCTCTCTAGAAGACATCTCAGTTGTCAACCTCTAGCTAACTTCTTAAGAGTAATCGTATCCTAGCGCATAGGAGATGCGCAAAAGCATTTATGCCATTTCAAAGAACGTACGTACACACATGCATACATACATACATACATACATACAGCCAGTGACATACAGCTTGTAAATCTGTCATTAATGTATTTAGGTACATACATACCTATAGACTAACACTTAAAATAATAATTTCCTATATACATATACATATAGACATATTTACTTATGCATACCAATCCACGTGAACAGTATTTGTTAGGGGAGAAAGGAAAACCTCCACGTGACAATGCATATATATTCCATCCGACTTTGTTGTTGTTGTTGTTGTTTGTATACTTACTTATACATAGTGTATAGTAAGAAATGAAGTTTTAAACTTTCTCAAGCTACTAACTATTTAGGCATTAAAAAAAAGAATAACTTTTGCAAATTCTATTCTATTTTGCTGTGGTAGAAGAAAAAGAGAGAAGAAGAAGGGGCAATTAGATTCTATGAAGTCAAAAAATCATTAAAATGTTGTATATTTATTTTATGTTTAGTCTTGTAGGCATTGACAAATAAGCATACTTTCCTCTCTCTCTCTCTCTCTCTCTCTCTGAAGTATATTGCCGCTTGACATAAAACTTAATTTTATACTTTTAATTCGAATCGTGAAAAACGTGGCTCTCAGGGTCAAATTTTTCCAGTTGATAACACTTTGGCGTTTGAATTTGATGGGTATCAAGTTTGAGTCCCAGTAGGAAGACTATCATTCACTGGAGAATGCATGTACATTCAGTTGACGAGTCCTAAATAGGACGTAATGCACATCCTGGATTCCACTGTTAGTCGTCATCTGCTAAATATGACTGTATAGTACCACTAGGCTGAAGACTATATTGGTGGTGATATGGATCCCAGTGACATAAAGAGGTGTATTCCATCTTTTTTTCATTCCCTTGTTTCATTCAATCTTGAATAGTCTATCATGTAATTATTCTGACTTTTGCATTTGTTTCTGTCGTAGTTTCTTTACACCCTTTTTTTCTCCATATTTGTGTGAACTTTTAATGAAGTGTGTAAAGACCTACACTGAGACTTTAGTTAACCAGTCACAACTTCACACTAGAATTCCTGGCAACTTCGTCATGTAGACAAACACTGTCGAGCATCAGATCAATTTTCTAGAATTAGTTTTTAAGAATTGTAGGGATATCAAGTATCTGATAAACTGATATAGACGTTAAGTGCATTAGTGGTTCAGTGATAGAATGCTCACAACCACTAATACGCAAAGGTTCTCTAGTTTTTATTCCTGGTCGACTCATACTTAAATCTCACTACTCTACTAGGTGATAGTTAGCCTGGAATAGCAAGTAGGTTGATCAAGAGGTTTGTAAGCTCACGTAGTAAAATAGAACCAATCATTTTGAAATTTCAATAGCATTGAGGCCCTATTATCAGGCATGTGAATAAAGAATATGTTGTTTTTTCACGTAGTAAAGGGACACGTACCACCAAAACGCTAGGGAATATTAATAACATATACATTTTCGATACACTGAAACAACCAAATTTATTCTTCAGTTGATTATTTATTAGAAATTATCTAGCTGCTATGTTTGTTAGTCACACTTTTCGGAATGAGTTGCCTCACTAAGACAAATCACGATACACCCATTGACTGGGCATTGGTTTTCAGGAGAACCAAACACACGCATCCTTGCCTCTTGCGAGACGAGAACTGCATGCAGGATCAAGCTGTGGCGCAACCACTCGAAAGCCCTCTCCCTCGGTGGTCGTTTGCCGACCATGCATATGGTCCGGGGTTCGACCCCCGGCCGGCGCACTCCTTTACCTCACTGAGCCAGAAATAATCCTGGTAAAGAGGAAAGGTTGGGCATGAGGCATGATGATGAGAACCGATGAAAAAAATGGATCCAGATTATTCTGTGCCAATGTTTCTTCTTTCTTTCTTCAAAAGTTATGTCGTTTATGTGTTTCGTGTATTTAAAAATTTGACGTAATTTTAAAACTATTTAAATGATAAAATTAAATTATTCAATATTATTATTCTGGAGTTTTGATGTCAGTATAACTTTTACTCTGTTTCGGTGGTTTACCAACCATGCAGGTGGTTGGGATATGATCACCACCCGATGCACGCTTAAACCTCGTCTAGTCTACCAGCCGGTACAGGAAGTTCAGAATATAGGAGAGGTTGAGTGTGAGACTAGCTACCTTACTTTATAAAAATAGCACCAGTGTTACTGAAACTCCACAAAAAACGACTTGAAGGCGTATTTTTTTCACACAGAAAGCCAGGAGTGAAGGAAAAGAAGAAGAAGTAAACTCACTTGAAACACATGGTTAACTTTAACTAGAAACATCTACAAACCTAGTTAGACTGATGTCGCTTGTTAAATCAACCGATATAACCTGCTATCAATTGACGGTGTCAGCAAAACACAGAATGTAATCACTAGTCAGAATTAGTTGGGTTTTTTTTTAAATAAATTCATTAATTGATATTTCTTTCAATTTGTAATCAAGAAAAACTTACCGCTTCTGTAATTTTTCATCAGAACCGTCAGCTACATATGTGCGTAGTTCATAATCTACTCCACAGGGCTAAAAAAGCAATAGACACACATCCAATATGTTTAATAAATATAAATGATAGGCAAATATAATGATAATAATAAATAATAGTTGTAATGGTACTGGTGAGTAATAGTTTCTTTAAAAAACCAGTCCGTTGCTTATTATTCAAGTGTTGATTTGTAGGGATTCGGTTGATTGGTTACAAGATTTCATCATGAGCTGACATTGGTTAGAGAACCATTGGAAAACCACCTGAGAGTACTGGACAGCTGTTTTGTCCTAGTTAGGGACTCCTCAACAGTACACACCCACCGGGATTCAAACTTAGGACCTTCTGGTTACAAGATGAGTGAGCTCGCAGACGATCAAGCCACTGCGACCCTGTCCGATAACTATCCCATGAATTCTAACTTCTGCCAATTCACACACAACATAGCACGACCACTTCACAATGTCTACTTTGATAAGTTCCTGCCTCATCTTCAACCCTGTTGCACCCTACTGGTCACGGCTTCCCACTAGAACCCCAGGTTAACTGGCTAAATAGCACCAGTCGCTAGTGAGTATCAGATCAATTGTCAAGTATTGGTTTTATGAAGAATTTAGTTCGATTGGTTTGATGAAATCCCCCTACTATTCACTGCCAATGAGGCATACTTATTCTAATGGGACTAATGATACTGCCTTTGGTAGGCAGAGTAATTCCTTAAACCTGTGACCCCAAATGATTGGAAGTCGGCCGCCTATGTGCCAATGTGCCACAGTTTCACATAAATCAAGACATTTTCCGACATTAGAAAACTAAACATACTTCCTGTGAAAATAAGTTAATCTCACATTCTATCTTGATGCGTCAGTGGTTCAGCAGTATAGAAATCACCAATCACGCAGGTGGTACTCGGTACGATCCCCGGATGACACACTCCTGTACCTCCCTAAGTTGGTAGTAAGACGGGTGAAGAGTAGAGGTTGGACATGACGCTAGCAACCCAACTCAGTAAAAACAAAACCAACACTACCGAAACTTCAAAGCTCTAGCTTGAAGTCCTGTGTTCCAGTGGGAATTTAAAGGGAAGAAAAGAAAGAGAAGACATTTTGTTTTAACAGGCCGACCGTTGATATCGGGTGTACGTCGGTCGGATATCGCCCCTCGGACCATGTGTATGGTCAGCAAGTGTCCTAACTGCTGTGCCACCGACGCACATCTATCTTTATAATAATAGTGATAATTACTGCATTTCAAATCTCTAAATTTAGAGAAAAGAATTATAATAAACAGAGATGTTTGGGAAAAGAATGATTACATGAAGGAGAAGAATAATGTGATCCCAACACATCTGAGAGATCACACAAAGGTTGAAAGTGCCACTTAGAGATCCTTTGAGCCCCAATAACCAACATTCTCCAACCAAAGGGTTTGTTAGCATCTGGAGGATCCTAGCTAGTCAGTTTACACTTCTCTATGTGCCTCAAACTGACCATCAGAGATATAATCAATCAACGCCAGGGTTTCATTTCATTCTTTTCCAACCTAATGTTATTTTACAAGCCATTGTCAACTTAGATTGATTTCAACACCGAAAAGTATTTCAAAATTGGATAGATAGATCAAGTAAATCTCATTATCGCTTACTTTGCCATTTTCATTTGGTCCTGGCTGAAGTGTAACTGAAGCCGGTGCATCTGGAGGAAGCTTAGAAGAAAAAAAGAACAACATATAGTTGCATACTAAGTCAATAAATAATGCAGTCAGATATTCTATAGTGAAGATGTGAATATTTTCCTTTGTTTTAGCCCTACAAGACAAAAGAAGTCAAGGGTTCAAGACATCTCCCCCCCCATTGACTCATGAACACTTACAACGAATTAGAAGATACACTGTGTTACAAAAAAATCAAATGAAGCCTCTTTGAGATACTGAAATAATTTTTATTGATTTTCAGGTTACTTTGCTCACTATACTGTATTTATTTTCTACCTTACGTTTTGAGGCAGCATGAAAACTAATTAGTGAACAGTCTTTATTATATTTTTTTAATTAATTTTGCTATGTGAACATTTTGACCTATATGTATCTCAAAGACTAAATACTGATACTCTTAAATAGATTTTTTTAACATCTGCTCCATATCTGATGGTGGCTATTTTAATATAAGTATACTCCTGTTGCTTTCAGATTCTACGCTTTTAAGAAATATTGTGACTAACTGACTAACTGGCTAACTGACTGACCGACTGGTTTCAGCATAGAACTTTACCTAGAAGTTCAGCAGTTCGAGTTGCCACACTCTGTGTAACACGCAAAGGCGAAAACAACAGTAACATGGAAAAACAATAGGGTTTTAATAAAGAAAGCTAGATCATAGAGAGTGAATGAATGAATCTACGCCACTGAAAATCAACTTTTGAATCAAATCAACTATCTTCAGCCTATGGTTTCTAGAATTCTGAAGATCTCAACCAGGCAGTCTACACTTACCTACATGGTCCAAACTAACTGTTAAGGAAGAAGTATTGTTGTACGAAATGATGAGCTTCTTGTAAGATTCTAAGCTAATGCGTCCGACTCTCAACTGACTCTCATGGTTGATTACCTGATGCTGAACTATGGCCTACACGTATTGTGTGAGGCTTGACAATACTACACAGTTATCAAGGGAGCAAGATTTGAACCGGTGACACATTGACTGAAAGCTGAGCGTTTGAACTAATGAGCCACACCTTCGCCAAACTCTACGACATTTATGATAATTACAAGGTGACTGTCAATGGGCAGCATTCATTTATTTTACATTTTAAGGTGTTTATAACCCACAAAACAGTAACTGCATGTATTTTTGCTTAATTTTTCAAGTTTCACTAGAATAGAAATATGAAGGAACACCATTTAGCTATTAAGTTTCCAATATCATGTATAATTCTGTTTTACAAAAAGGGTCATTGAATTTCAGGAAGATGCAACATATACAGTTATGCACCAATCCAAGTCGCAATGAAGGAACATTCAAAACAAAACAAGGTTAACCCATACTAATAGAGTAGAAGGCGTAAAATAGAAAAGTATTAGAAGAGAAGTTTCAAAAGGAGTTGAGCAGATCAACTATTATCGAAAACAACAGCGAAATGATGTTTCTTAGGAGGGATTATAACGTTGAGAAGCATCGTGAATCTGAATGTACTTTGTTTCTACTTTCTGGGGATTGAGTAACTTACATTGCGAATGATTAAATTATGTATTATTAGTATAAATATATATACATTTATATTGTAATTCTGAGAAAAATGCAATTGGAAGACTTACTTTAAAATAGAATGGAAATGCGTTGGAACCTAACTTTTTGATTAAACGTTCCTGTAGTCTGGTTAATGGAAGAGTGCCAGATTGTGAAGCACCTCCTGACTCTTCACCACCTTCCAAATCAGAATTATTGTTTGAAGAAGACCGTGGAGCTCCACATGCAGTTGTACTTGCAGGATTTAAAAGAACTTTTCCAGATTCACCATTTTCAGAGGCATAAACTGGAGGGTAAACTTGAGCCGAAGAAAGATAGAGGTCTTTTCGAAATGTTAGCCCAAGAACATCAAGATCCTCTCGACCATAACGAAATGCTGATAATACATGAGTGTAGACCTTCCGTCCCTTGACATATTCTGGGTCAACCAGGACAACACCCTCTTAAAAATAAAAATAAAGTGAACTACTTTAAGGAAAGGCCTAATATATCAAGCAAAGGAACATCTTGTGTGAAAATAATTAGGTAAAAATAGTATTTTATAAGTGACGCATAAATCATTTTTAAGTGATCAGAAAACTGCGCTATTCATGCTTCTTTGCTGTCCACTAATGGTTAAACTATGTATTGAATGTCGTGCAAGTTGTTAATATGTTACAAACGACTTAAACAAACGAAAGATGAGATCGGTTTAAGAGTTTGAAATATTCCCATGAATAAGGGATTTTCTAAGCAAAATTGGAAATCTTGAAGAGTTTGTAAAAGCCAACATAGGTTATAAGAGTTGCAAATATGAACTGACAACGGTGGAGGAAACGTCATTTTCAGCCTATAATTCAAGGAAGATACTCCTAAAGAGGAGATACTAAATCAGCATCTAACCAGAGTGCATGTCTGTTCCCACCTCTCAGTAGCCATCCAGTGTTCAATCCAAACTGAAAGACGTCTTACTTAATCTTAGCTCTTCCTCATGCCTATACCGTCTCAAATGCTCCTGTGGTTCAAGATACAAAGGGCGTACGATTATGCAGGTGCATCTACGTATTCAAAAACATTTACCAGCTTGGTTCAGTAAGGGTGAAATCAAATGAATAAAAACCTCATTTCCATCACATTTGGTGAATACATGACATCACATGATACTAGCATAGCCTTTAAGTCTATATGCCACATTCAAACCGTCGTCACACTCAGTCAGCCTACATCTTCTACATACAGCTGAAACTATTGCAATAAAAAATAGATTGAACTGGAACTTTATATTCAAAAAGATGACGTTCAGAAGTTATTCCTATTGTGGCCAGGATTGGAATAAGAATTCCTCCACTTCAAGAGTGGCTTTTCCTTTCATATCTTCTTCTTTCGCCTTAGTAACTTTTTTCTCTTTTATCTTCGTCCAAACAGTTTTAGCTATAATGTTTTATTATTTAAACCCTTCATCCTAACATCCTTTCAATCAATTAAGTCACAAAAATTGCAAATTTTTTTAAGTGTAATGTCCTTTGTATACGTCTCAGTCGTTTTACCTACCTTTCGAAAGATACCCTATCCAAAGAAAACTCCCAATAAAGCAACCGCTGAATAAAGTTTTACAACCGCTCTACATGTTTCTACGGACAGAGTTCCCCAAGCTAAAATGGGTCCATTACAACTAACTGTGCTGATGGAAATGTCTGTAGCATATAAAAACTACTGTTCCTAATAGTCACATGGATAGATGAAAACTGCTTCCTTTTGGCGATAATCTCAGTCTGTCCATAATCATATATGCATACCGTTAAGCATCATACATCTGAAAACTTCTATACCCCCATCTTAGGTGTAATACAAATCTCTGAGTGCTAATAAGAAATCTGACAGTGGCAAATAAAAAAGTAAAGGGTCGAATAAAAATAAGTAAGAAAAATATAAATGGCATAAACTTATATAAACAAATAAATCAACATACCAATAGGATCAACGTGTGCTAAACTGTCTATAAAGTCTCTCTTACACAAGTATGTTGTAATCTAGAAAATAATTTTATGAATGATACAAATTACTTTTCCGTTTGGACTGCTTTTCTTAAAAACCCTACAAATTTAAGGGTTATACCAAGGAGTGAAAAGCTAACCTTGTACCCTGTTTTCTTTGTGGATTATTCCCACTGTCATCCATAATATCATAATGCGAACCAGAGGCCTGACAAAAACCGTGTCACACAAATAACGAAGACACCAACAGAGGTCAAAAAAGCGCTCTTCTTTCATTCATTGCATTGAACCTTGCAGAAAATCACTAGTGTAGCAAAACAATTGTTATGATAGAAGCATAATATGGCAGCAGTGTTTTGTGTGCATTGAGATGCAAAAGCCCACGACCATTATCAACGGTTATTTCCATATTTTTTTGCATCGTTATGACGTGGGAAATCATAATCAAGTCATTTTTGTTTCTTTGTCTAATGTCCAAGGATTTTGTTGCGGGTTGTTGCAGACTTATTCAGTTTTGAATATTTAAACGCAACGAAAGGTTCTATAAGCCTATAGTTATTTCCAGTTCAACGTATTGAGTGTCTTATCTGTTAAGCCTAATGAGACGTGGACATTTTCACTATGCAGTGGGCGTAAATAAGTTTACAGCAATAGCGCCATTGTGAAAACCGTTCCACAAACCTCTGAGAATAATTTGTGGTTAATCAGTTGAAGGCAAACGAAAAGGAGCGACTGGTCAAAAACAATTAGAACAAACACTGATATCAAGTTGAGTGTGTTGTTCTAATACAAATTTTTACTCATAAATTGTTCATAACCTGTTATCCAACGAAATCATGATACCAGCCTCTTGATAGCGCGTCCAAATGCCACTCTTACAGAAGTTTCTCAAATATTTGGCCCATGGGAAAAAACCGACTGGATTTGATAGGGATAGAAGTAAAACTAGCACTAAAGTCAACACCAGATGAGCTACGTTTCATAAGTCTTCCTTCTTGCTGTCGCCTATTTATCAAAAATTTCGAGTACCTGGCACTTTCAAACCATCGACTGAGTGTTCGAAAACATATGTTTTCTTCAAATTTTGCACGCCTAGGGTGTATTTTTCAAGCACAACGTCTCCCTGACCTACAACACTTTTCTGATTTTCAGATGCTTCTCTCATAAGTGATACATTCATAGGAGACACCAACGCTAGAGTTCAGATAAAGGGTCTGCCGCATCAGAGCTAGCATCTGACAAATAAACAAAAGTCATCTCAAACACAGGCCTTAAGATGGAAGTGAATGAGATCCACTCTTTATTAGCTTGACAGGCAATGTTAATTCTAGTATGCTTCATGAATTATCTCCACAAAGCTTTGCAATGGATGCGTAAATTCTGAGATATAGATGGCCGATTCACTTGCTTGCAGGAGTTTGACCCCCACTAAAGATACCGGTTAGGAATTTCACTCCTGAGGATCACTGTGTTCCCGAATTCCTTAACTGTTGATGCTATCAAAATCGACTGCACTTCTATTCAAGTAACTGGCTGCCACCCGAAGGATATTTTCAATACGTACTGTGGGCAAAGTGGAAAAGAAGTTACTAGTTTAACGCCATAGCTTTCTTAAGTGTAGACACCTTAGCGTAGTTCAAAATATCACCTATGTAAACTACATGTCTACAGGACTCCATATTATAACGCCTGTAAGCCACGTCATGTAAACCGTCAATGCACAGCTCTTGCTGCACTCGGGCTCACGCTGTTCCTTGAAGTTTCTCAGAAACGCTTAGCAATAACGGACGCAAAACCAAAACACCGATTGGCTACTCGAGAATTCTTTATTGTAACACCAACATATAGGCAGCTTTAAAATTAAGTTTTAACTAAGGTCTATGAACAAATAATAATATTACAATAATAAATCACAATATTAATTCTGACAGTTGTCTCCTGACTTCTTTCTGAACAGCGACCGATGAGACGATGACTGTCGTATCGATGTCTCCGCGAAAATATAGGGAAGTTGGTTTTGAGCAAACAAACATGAATTGATCGTTCAATCGTCAAACACATTGACACTCCCCGGCAAAATACCGAACAATCCCTTTTTTCCATCACGACCAATACACGTTGACATGGATGCCATTGCGAGAACCTGGGTCACACGGAGAGAGCTGAAATGGAAAACAAACAGAAAAGCCAACACACCACAAGCATACCCACAGCACAATCTCACACATCGATGACGACCTGCGCCTCCAGAAAAAGGTATCCTTTTCACATCTTGCAACACAATCGCCACTTGCTAGAATGACTCTTGCAGAATGCAACGTTACCATAGCACCACCTCACGATACTCTACGCACATCCTCTTATCTACTCACTACCAATTACCACTGCGATTGCTTGTCACTCATTCTGCCTCAGTTCTAGTAACGGTGACGTATGCGAGCCTCAGCCGTTTACACTCCCGCTCCCCTGCGTGTGGGACCGCAGCTAACAATTATCTCCGTATGCATTTCATTATCATCAATAGCCTCCCCAGCGTATACGACCCATCTGTTGTCTTTAACATCAATCAATTCATTCACGGATGTAGAGGAATCGAAACAACTTCAGAAGTAATCACGACGAAAATTTTAACAAAATTACGCAATAACAACAAGGTACGAAAACAACAATTAAACGGAATGAATCCAAAATACACCAATTGATATGACACACCACACATATATACAAACGGTACACACAAACTCGCAGATCGTGTCTCGATGGAATTCCTTTGAAGAATCGCAGGACTTACTCCAGTACGCCTGCAACCCTTCTCACATTGACGATTGTAAGTCGTGGAATGTCCGAACACAAACAAGATTAACCAACAATTACAATAATTGGAACTCACACAATTATTTAACACAAACATATGTACAATCAATACATCAAGTGTGGTGGATTCTGCCTTGACGAACTACCCTTGAAGAACTGTAGGACTTACAGCAGTACGCCTGCATTCCTTCTCAGGTTGATGTTCCAAGTGGAAGTCGTCCGGACACAAACAGAATTACCAACAGCTAGATGACAGATGATATCAATTCAGTATATACAACATGAACATATGTACAAAATCACACACAAAGCACATTGGACTGCTCATTGATGCGCTACCCTTTGAAGAACTGTAGGACCTACAGCAGTACGCCTACAACCCTTCTCAGGTTGACGCTCTAGGTTGGAAAATCGTCGCAGAGTTCATTTACTGACTTCCTTCTGTCAGCTATATCCTCAAATCTGAACGGTAACACGCTCATGTCATTGTATCGTAGAATATAGATGACGAACAAACACACGACGTATTTGGTCAACCAAACGTAGGCACAGAGTAATTTACACCGAAGATAATAGCATTCAGATAGTAACTTAAAACTAGAAATACCTTTATTCATGCAAGTCAATTTAACAATTACTCTCTCGTTTACACCTGGCTTATCCCCTCTAAACTGACCAGTATCTTTCGTCTTTTCAAATGCACCAATACTATCATAGTCATTTCACAAGATACTGGAGTTGATGGGCGTCCTTCTCATTGTGGATGACAACACCAACGACAACTGATTGATACCAGTTGATGAACTTAGCGGTGGATCAAAAGCTGGTGTTGTCCGGCTTTCAGAAAGTTGTCTAACTGCAAGATTACCACCACTGCTGTCCTTCACTACTAGTTCGGGTTTAGCACTATCATCTGATGATAAGTGGGCTACACACTGATCAATTACACTGACGGTCTCACAAGTATCCATACCTTCTGCAACTGCATCTGCATTTAATTCTGGTTCACATTGTAGTTGTACAGAACCCTTGTTCAACTTAGCAGTAGTTGGCATTCCCCTCATTTCATCATGATCAACCAAGAACAAATCTGCACTATCATGATCATTATCACAAATATTCAATTTACCGTCATCTATCTGGTCGACTTCATCATTTTCAAACTCTTTAATAACAGCAATAGACAATTATGATTCCTCCTCACAAATTATTAGAGGTTTCATACCTTCACTCTGACTACTAATACCTTGTAAACTGGCGGAGTCAGAACTGAACTCTGAAGCAGTAACTCTATTCTGTGACACTCTATTCAACAATGGCTTACCAGTTGCAGCTAGTGACTTCTTGACCGCACCGTTATCGTCACACAATTCGGAGTCAGGCCTGGAGTTTACATTTAGCTTATCACTGAACTTGCTCACTGGTTTACAGTTCACCTTTGTATGCACCTCTTGCAAACTTGTAAAACACAGCCGTGTTTGTCTTGCATCTTGGAACTTATCTGTTGAGGATGTACTACGAAACCTGTTACACCCACTAGGTCTATATGCATTACCAGACATCATGGAGCCTTTTCGATATCCACCTCTCTGAGGCCTATTCGTCATCAATGATTGCGTTTTTCCCTCAGACTGCTCTATTCTAGGGGTGAGATTCAATATACTGGCGAACTTGCTCATAGATAGATTGACACTATCTTTTACCAGTTTCAGGATATCATCGAACTTTGGCTCGATACCCTCATCCTCCTTACGGGAGCTTATCTTGACCCACTTCCTTTGCAGTCGAGTAGGTAGGCGTCTTGCTATTACTTCTAGTATAAAACTCGAGTTGAGTTCACTCATGCAGTTCATCGAAATCAATGCATTCTTGTAAATCAGCAAATTATCCGAAAACTCAGTGAGTGCCTGGGAGTCATCCTGTAATTGATCACCATTACCCTTAACAGCCTCGAGTAGATTGCTTACAATCATCAGAGACTTTTCAAACCTTTGACGCAGGATACGCATCGCCCCGGTATATCCGTCGTTTGGGGGCATAACTTTACGGCACTGTATATCTCTTGAAGCAACACCAGTGCAGTACCTCAACAAATAAATACAGTTCATCTCATCATTTAATAAAAAACCACTCAACATGATCTCAAACTCTTTCACAAACTGTAAATAATCAGCCGGGTTTCCATCGAAACATCGTGGTTCAAATTTAGGGAGTTTGATATTCCTATTATCCCTGAACGACGAAACAGTAACATCAACCATGTCATGCATAACATCAGACACATCGTTACAAGTATCAGACAAGTCACGATGGCTTACTTTCCTGTTTGCATCCAAGACACTCTGTCCCTTCTTTGACCCAGGCATTGTTGAACTTGACCCAATTCCAAAAATGTTCTAGATATTGCTTGT